CTATTATGTCCGCCACCCATCGAATACGAGACTATGTCGGGTTTATTGTTAGTTTTCAGATTTCCTCTCAACATCCAAGGACACGTTTGTTTGTTTGCATCATTTTTTCCTGGCTGAGGAACCGGACAAAGAACCATCATCTGCCCATCGTTTGGTAGCCTGCATGTAGGTTGGTTGTGAACGACATAAGGTGTGATCACCATTTCTCACTACTGGTGGCCTTACCACAAACGATTTCAACATCGTCTCAGTCCTACCTAGAAAACAAATGACGGTTCATCCTATCTACTAACAAATGGCAGTACAAATTAAGTGCTATATGGCTGAAGAATAAGAAGAAGAAGAAGAAGAAGAAGAAGAAGAAGAGGGGGATCTTAAACCTATTCTTCACCGATTCAAATGCCCTCTCAATCGTAACTCTAAGGCTAGAGTGTCTGAAATTAAACAGTTTCTGTGGAGTCCTATGATAGTTCCTGAAAAAGAACTCCTTCAAATGGTACCTGGTTTTCCTGAAAGGTCGAAGAACACCAAGTTGATATGCATAGCCAGCATCTCCTTGGTAGAACTTGCCATCAGGTCAAAACATGCTATCTGTTAGAATGATAACATCATGGGCTGGTCCCTTCCACCTAGCTAACACGTATGTGAACTTCAGATCAAAGTCAACCGCAGAACATTCTGGCTTATGTAGTATTAGATGACAAATCATCACCTGCTATACCGTCATCGGATCCCACATCATTGCACCTCCACAAAAAATATTCCAATGAGTTTGGAGCACTCCAAATGCCTTTTCCGCATCCTTCCTAGCAGCTTCTTGCATTTGTGCAAAGAGACAATGTTTGTACATTGGGGATCGGGTATAGTCATCACAAACACCATCTACTGATGATAGATATCATCGGCATGGTAGTACCCATGGAATAGTAATCCTTGTTGACGGTGTAATTGCATGTCGGGACATTCCCATCACAGAGTCTATTGAACAATAGAGATTGTTGAAATACACTGATGTCGTTGTAAGAACCAGACATGCCAAATCCACAAGTCTGTTGATGCCATTGCTTCAAGTATGATGTTGATCTCTTTGGTGTGATCTTGGCACTACCCACGCAAACCTGTCGGGGATGTTTTTCATTGTCAAAAAATCCCCGACAGGTTTGCGTCATCATTGAAATACCGGGCCGGGTTTGAAGTTATCATTGCACGGACCTTTGCGCCAATTATCCTATCTCAGGCAAGAGCTATCATGCCATTTACTGAATCCTTGAAATTAAGAATGTGCTCATGTTTCTTATCCATTTCTTCCTAGATGCTAATCATCGTCATCATCTCAGCATCTTTGTCGTCATCATTGTCTGAAAAATCGGATAAATCAACAAACTCTTTGATATGTAGTCATCAAGTTCCATGCAATTAAAATCATCATCCAATGAATCCAATGTTTGCCAACAAATGAGTAAAAGAATCAGCTTCAGCTTTTGATTTTGCATCCGTTGGGACGAAGAGTAAAGTAAAGGTGACAAACCGCGTGCACAAAAATATACCTATACTCGTACGATGTGGCCAAGGGAAGAACCTACCAGAAATTTCCAGCTGCTAGGCTGCTTAGCTAGCAGAGGTACTCACACCACATGGTGGATGCTCAGATAGGCCATATCCAACGCTGACCCGCAAATTCCTTCCGTTCGTGGACAGGGAGACCAGTCCATAGATACAGATGCGAGAGGAGACCATCCAACACTACCCTCATACATTTCAAAGTTTCAAACACAGTTAAACTAAATGGAACGAAATTCATGCAAACACTATGGATTTCATTAAAGTTCATACATAATTTAATTAAAATGGATGACATTTCGATCGTTTAACTAAAAACTGTAAAAAGAACCTAAACCCTAGACCGAACGACCACCTCGTACATGTGGCTGCTATGTCCCGCCACACCATCAGCGCCGTCATCATCGTTGTCCTCCCTCCAGTGGTGGAAGGGCACCGCAGGGCCGTAGCAGCCTTGTCTGGCGGCTTCCTGCCGCTCATGGAGGAGCCGCTCCGCATCCCGTTGTGTGGTGCGGAGGGCCGCCTTGGCTACTGCCGACGACGCCAACGGAGCCCTACCGGCGGCCTTACCCCTGCCGGCGTTGGTGGAGCAGTCGCGAAGTGACCATTCCTCGCTGTTAAGGCGGTGGCGGCACCTGGCGTCCGTCTCGAGGGTGGTGACGGAGTGGTCGAGCGGCCACTCAGCTGCATGGTCCGGGTTGTTGCGGACCCATTCCGGCACGACGTCGCTCTTGGCGAATGCGGAGCGGTGTGTGGCATTGCGTCGGTTGTACCGTGCCTATTGGCTCGCCGTGCGCTCCACCTACGACGACCCTCGAGACCGAGGCACCGCATTAACCACCTCCTCTGAAGTAGTGGAGGATGCAGCCACCGTGATCACGCGCGGCAACTCCTCCTTTATCGGGTGGCGGTTGCGGCGTGGCGACGACGAGGACCCATCAATGAGGGCATGCCGACTGTTAGGTGGGGGCGACACCAGCTCGTCTTTGGTGGTGGAGGCGCTGGGGGTCCACGGGTGTTGCGATGGAAAACACATGAGAAGAGGGTGGGTTTTTTGGGAAAGTCAGGGCAGTCAGAAGAGGACGTGGCAACTGTCCGGATGCCCTTAAAACCCTCCACTGTGTCTCCGCTTTGCAAGAAAAATTGTGTCCAGACCGATACATGACTGCGTTGGATGACAAAACACGGCCGGGCATATGTGATGGGCGGTTTGAGGGTCGGCGTTGGAGATACCCTAAAAGCATCTCTAGCAGACCTCGTAAAAACACAACTTGTGAAAATAGTATACAGGTCCCCCTAAAACGAATTTACGGTACCGCGAGGCATCGGGCGGAACAGATTCTGTAAACTCGTATGGTAAAGGTCTTTCTTCTGC